ACTCATGACAAAGGTCATGTAATGAAAGAGGCGGGGTGCTTGATTTGCTACATAAAGCATCCAGGGAAAGGTTGCACCTATCTGGGGGTCTGGACTGATAGGATAATGGGAACACTACATTTTTGGGCGCTTTAAGATTTCAGATTAACGAGGAGGGGTCAGAGTTAAGGTTATTGCTGAACATATACCCAAGGATTCCTAACTAGCTGTTCTCTGGTTTTCAGCCTGCTAGACAGTGGCATTCCCCACCCTGCTCCTAACACCCTGGCTTTGGTCCAAAGTTACCCTCTTCCTGGGTTTACCTTTATTGTGAACTTAATTAACAAAGAATAACCATCAGCCTAAGTTTTCTCCTGAGCTTGACTGTTTTTTCCCCCTGCAGGATCTCTCTACCCCGACCCCTACTTCTTCTTCTGAGAAGAGGCTCAAGCCCTTTCATATTCTGGAATGGAGCTAGTAGGACTCAACTGATCTGGCCTCCCAGATGAGTCAGTAAAACTGCTCAGTGTCTCTAGGGTTCTAAAACCTGACATCCGTTGCCTGATCTATTGGTTAGATATTATTTTGATTTCCCAATTTAACATTCCATGGTTTGGCAGTGTTTGCTTGCCTCTAGATCCATCACAGTATGATAATTAATTTCAGAGTGAGGGCCCTGGTATATGTGGGAGAGACACTCATACTTAGGGAAGACCTTTTGAATTTGCAATAGTTTTATTAGCACAATCAGCACGATCACAAACGCTACAACATAGCAAACTAGATCTAGATAATACAAGCAGCCAGAACTTGCATACTCATACCATCCTTTGCGGGGAGCCCCATAGTAGGTAAGATGACCCACGAGTGGTCCTTGGCCTGGCACGTTCCAGGAAATCTCCCTGGAGTGCATGGGCCGAGTGCCACCTTTTAATCAGAGGTTACGCTAACGCCTGCAATGCCTAATGCGCATTCAGTAGGTGTGTGAGCCCCTTTTCCTTATCTGTATTTCCTCACCCTACTAATGTTGGGGTGCCCTTCTCCTACTAGGCCTCTTAATTCAAGCTTATTAGCATATAAATCAGTCTGTTACCATGGCATAGGCCCATACATCTATAGAACAGCTGGCTGTACATTGGAGTGATTCAACAGAAAACCCTGCATCTGTAAGCAGGGTCCTAGGAGCCACTGACTGCCATGTTACACACCCTCACTAGCTACTACACTGATTGGTGCCCTAGAAATCAGACAGACAGACAGACAGACAGACAGACAGACAGATAGATGAGTGGCAATGACCTAACCAGATCACCTACTTGCCTCCACCTGCCTCACATCTCAGCAGCCTTCTCAATCAGCAGCAAAGCATTACGGACCTTTTCCTTTCACCCCTATTTAGAGTCAAGGGGCCCCACTTCAGTGGAATTGCCCCCGGTCTGCATTTGCCCCGCGTCTCTGAAAGCGAGGCCGATCCCAGGAAAGCCCGCTCTCGGC